AATCTATATTCCAATTTTTCCCTCTTCTAAATTAAATCATTATTTAATTATAAAATTATAATTATCATCATAATCATAATTGTTTATAATAATAATAATAATATATTATATTATATAATCAATACACTCTTACTATTACGAAATTAGTCGTATACCCCTAATCTTAACTATTTAAAAATTTCTAAAGTACTCACTTTTAACTAAGACATAACGATATATCCTTACGTTCAACAAAATACACTAAAAACATCCCATCATCTAATAATTTAAATTGAAAAGGGTGTTACAATGAGCATGTCTCGAAAGCTTTCCAACCTAACAATATTGAAAGTCTTGGTACCAAAAACGAGTTTTGTATTAATTAATGAACATGTGCAATAAGCTCCTTGTCACATGCAGCCTTTATGTTTGATTGCCTTATCTTCTCTTTCTTTTTGCTTTAAATTACATTCTCATGTTTCCGGAAAAAGAGATCAATAGGGCCCGTTGAAGTAAGTTCTCTTGAACCTTCATCAAGGACATCTTCACTATCACCAAAACCATCAAGCATATCAAGCTTCACTCTTTAGAAAACCTCTTTTTCTTGCTTCTTTTTATTCGTAGCATGTTAGTACAATTCTTCTCTAACCTCTTTTGGGCAATTAAGACAATGCTTGCAACTATCCATCTTTTCCATCAAGTGTTCTTTCATTCTGGTGATTCCTCCCCCAAATTATATTGGCACAAAAATTGCAAATGCAGCCACTTGTAGAATTTTCATGTGTTGGTTGATAGAATTTCCATCTGATGTCAGTCCTTGACGAAGGATTTGATGTTTGTTCGCCACTTTCCATACTATAACAAATGTTTCAGAAAAAGGGTTTAAAGAATTGAAAACACATAACTCAGTAGAATGTAAAAGAACTAGTTTGAAATAATTTGAGGAACAAATGAAAGAAAACAAAAAACTAGAGCACAAAAGAGAAAAAAGAAATCATCTAAAAAATAATTATCTGAGAAAGAATTCTGGTGAGGAACTTGAAGAGATGAAGAAAGGGCAACAAAAGAATTATCTATCTTACTGATTTCAAGTGACACATGATTTATTGTTAGGTGTAACCAACTTCACATATATATTTTCTATAGAGAAAGTTTAGATTAATAGATGCACATCCTCATACAAAGTTAAAAGCTATAAACATCAGAGCCTTACTAACAATTTTTACAATGAAATTTACGTACACCTTAATCCTTATCAACTACAAAATTCAACACTTGAAGTCAACTCACAACAAATGAGTGAAATGCCCAATTTTTTATTTAGAAAAAAAAAAAAGAAGACAAAACGTATGTGAACATGAATTAAAAAAAAATATTAAAAAAACTAGTTAGACCATACTAAACAAAAAATTCAAAACTAGTACATGCTCTAACTAATTTTTCTCCATAAAAAGCGATCTCACAAAGAAGTGAAGAACTACTAATTTTTCTTGTTGGATGACAAAAAAAATTATATCATGTGAGGTTAACATTGTGTTATAAATTAGGGTGTAACCTTTGCATATCACACTCATTGAGCTTTGAGACCATTCATAAACCTATGTTCACAACACATCACATCCCATATGGTATAAAAAACAAGTTAATACTAATTTCAACCATTACGATTAATTAACTTAATCAACATTAAGTAAGCAAATTATAGTATGTAAAGTAGTTTTTTCAAACAAAATCATTTGTCAAGAAACAAGAGTATTCTGGAGGCGGTTTTCACCTCACCTGTAAATATCACACCTGCCATTAAACACAGCACATTTGTTTTCAAACCTAACTTTAAAGCATCACCAACCAACAAAAATAGATCTGGGAAAGAATGAGACAACACTCGCTAACTACTGAACAACCAAATGACAACTAAGAACAGCTAGAAATATTTGCACACACCAAACATTATTACGAAATACAAAAATAATTTAGATATTATATATATCTTCAAGCAAACAAGGTAGTCATCATCCTAACTGGGATAATTCCAGTCTATTAATACATAAAACTTAAGTTAAGAAAAAGGTGGGAACCATGAAATGCAAATTTGACAATTAGAATTCACAATAATTCCAAGAAAAACAAAGCATCAACCACCTTAATGCTTCAAGGAGATCTAGAGTATGTTAGACGAACGAACACCCACATAGACTTCAACTTCTTCAACGGCGTAGGAATGAAGAAAACGAAGAAGAGGAGAGAATTACAGATTGGAGAAATGGTTGTCAAATTTTTAGACCGACCTAGCAAATCACAATATCGAACAGGCCTTTTGTGCTTTACTCTTCTTTTTCTTTTGCTTTGGTGGTTGAAGGACAACTCTTATGGCTGCATCAAAGACTGCTTTCACATTCTGCAGTAAAGACCATACATGAATTTAGAACCGCTAATTGACTAAACCGTTGTGCACAAAAAGAAGAGAAAAATAGATTCAATCATATACCTGCTGTGATTTAGAACTGCATTCAATATAAGCAGGTGCATTGATCAGCTTCCTAAGCTCTTCTCCCTTCAAGATGATATGCAAATTTAAGATTTGATTTAGGTTGTGAACATGCATAAGTATAATGCAATTAAAGAAGCACCAGAAACACAATATTCACCTGAGCAGTGGTAATGGGCACAGCACCAGGATGGTCAACAAAGAACTGCTTGTCATCCCGAAGATCTGTCTCATTTCAAATCACAAGATGGTAAAGGAATAATTCTTATTTGACAAAACACATAATAGAATATGCACATCACGGAGACTGTTAACACAATTGTTTATCCCCCAAATAGAACAAACAATGCAGTGGAATTATTTACATGTGATTCAAAAGTATTGAATCTTCGCGTGCACATAGCATCAATAAAAAAACTTAACTTTGAATGACTATTTTAATTAATGTCAAATACTAATACACTTCCGATGAGAACAATGCGGTAGTCCAAATCAAAATTCCAAATTAACAACTTTCAAATCGTGCTATTGCATTTGACAAAACGCTTCCTACTTTTTAGACGTAAGCATATAGTCAAGCTACGTATGTTACTCTAGCATTGTACTAGACTGCCAAATCATTCCATCTGGTGTGTTCATATGAGACAAAAGAAAGCAGAAATCATCGAATATACATATTGTTCAACATCTAAAACTTTAATAGAAACAATGATGTGTAAACTGTACTAATTAACAAGTATAAGACAGCAAATGTCAATTTAGAAAAATCCCTACAGCACAAAACATCTTCGAAAATAGATACAAGAAAGAAGAAGAATATCCAACAAAAAGCATGAGCATAACTGTTGTAACAAGCATTGGAAGAATAAATTGAAACGAAAGCTTAGAAGAGAAGAAAAACAGGTACAGGATGAAGCAATAAAACAATTCTTCACCCCTTTACCGGAAGAAAGGAGTTTCTCTTCCATCGGTTATAATATCAACATGAAAAGAATTACGAATCAACTAACTCATGAAAATACATAATGTGCAAGTAGCTGAAAGCAGCATTCATGGATCATGGAATCCATAGAATTAATAACACATAATTTCATAATACAAACAGTGTTTGATATAAATTAATACGCTAGAAGGAAGCAACTGACTAATGCATGATATTACAGTATCAGATGTTTACATTAGGAAAAAATAAACTTACCAAGCTTAGTGCCAACCAGAATAATGGGAACACCAGGTGCATAATGCTTCAACTCTGGAATCCACTGGAAAAGAAACAGCACAAATGAAATTTATCATCAATTTTTAATTAATATACACAGTATACAATTCGTTCCAGTCTATAAAGAAACATCACATTTGTATAAAGCACATATGAAATATATCGTCAATTTATAATTAAAACAAACAGTATACCCAGCCAATCTAGTTTATGAAATAAACTCACATTCTTTAAAAAAAGAAAAAGAATATGCAAAAGCGCATTTTAAATTCACTCGACACGGGGAGCATAAACTCTGAACACAGTGGGATAAGTACCTTTTTGGAAACATTTTCATAACTGGCTTTGCTAATGAGGGAGAAAGCCAAAATGAAAACATCGGCACCACGATAACTCAAAGGTCTTAATCTGTTATAATCCTCTTGTCCTGTTTCACAAGATAAAACAATAAAAATCCAGCAAGCACTCTCTACATTATATTTCTTAGAAAAAGAAAAATATAATTAGATAACAATACCTGCAGTATCCCACAAACCCAGATTAACAGTGCTTCCATTCACAACCACATTTGCACTGAAATTGTCGAAGACAGTTGGCACATAATCCTGTGTCCAAACAAAGTAAAGAGATGCAAAAATAACAATCATCTACCTTTTTCAACAAGAAAACAGTAATGAGATCCAGGAGGATAAATTTAGTACTCAAATCTAACTATTTCTTTTCTGACATTTTAAGTAATACCCAATACATCATTTCATGTAATTCTCATACTCTTGAAAAGAAAAACATATTAACAATTGAAAAAATGGGAAGACTACAAAACTACATGCAGGTGAATCAAATCAAGGCACAACAAACATTGATTTCTTGATCAAATCAAGCCATATCAACCATATGTCAAGAATTGTGAATAAATTTCTGAAAGGTACAATTCAACAAACATAAAAAAGGGAAAGAAAAAGCTCACAGTGGGGAAGGTATTGCTAGTGTAGGAAATTAGCAAACAAGTTTTACCCACAGCTCCATCCCCAACAGTAACACACTTGATGAACCTAGAAGCGCTCATCTTCTCCTTGTTTCACCTCAAACGAAAACCCTAGCCAGATCTTCCACCTAAGGACACCAATCACTCTCACCCACACACCCTCCCAACTTCTCCTCCTCCAGTTATTGTCAATTTTCCCCTTCAATTATGCATCTGTACGATGTAAAACCAAAATCCACAAACTTCCATAATTGAAAAAAATGAAAAATTTGGAAATGCAGAGAGAGAAATGAAAAAAGAAAATGGAAACCCTAACCCTTTAGGAGGAGATGGAAAATAAGAGTGAGAAAATGGGAATTGTTGCGCATGGAGATGAAAGAGAGAGAGACAGGAAGCCTTGTAGCCCGGGAAATTTTGCCGTTGAAGCGTTCGTTAACCAAACCAATCTCTGCCAACAAACCAGTACCTTTGTGTTCTTACTATTATTGATTCTTTTTCTTCCTTGTCTTTTTTATTATTGTTTTTTTTTTGTCTGTGTGTGTTTTTTTTTACATTACTACGTGTTAATCGCAATCAGGTCCGGTTTCAACTCAAAAATATTCGGATCGTCACTCAATTACACTCACAAACTGGTCCTTTTATTTAACTACTCATTTTTAAGTGTGCTTTTTCTTTTTTTTTCTTTTTTTTTTTGACAATTGTTTTGTTGCCAACGAATATGGATTCGGTTGGTAAGATAATAGAAACATTTGGAAGCGTATATGTTGTTTGTTTGTTGAAGTTTTTTCTCTTCATATTTTGGTGTAAAATAAAGAAATTGAATGGTATGTTTTGAAGTAAAAGATAGGAGAAACAATAATAAACAAAACAAAAGTAAAATGTAAGAGCTTAATGAAAAATGCCATTTTTTGTTGGATCTTTAGATACTTAGATACATTGATGATGGACCGGCCAAATTAAGAATAAGTTGGAAATATGTTAATCTAAGTCTTTTTTAAATTTAGGGAATTTTTTTGATGTATTTTATGTATTACTAATATATCTAGTAAAAATACAATAATATTATCAAGTTTCGAAGATGTATGTTACCAAAATTTAATGTATTTTTGAATTAGACTCTAATTCAATGAAAAAATATTACGGAGAAACATCTTCGTATATATTACAAAGATGTATCTCCAAACACAGCAAAACACAATTCATTTCTGAATCAGACATTACCTCAATGGAAAAAATATTACGGAGATACATCTTCGTATACATTAAGGAGAAGCATCTTCGGACATTATTTGTTCAAAAGCGCGTCACGATTCCTTCTCATTTCTCACTTCTAAAAAACACAACTCTAAACATCTTCATGTTCCCAAACTCTCTCAAATCATATTCAAGCAACTTCAAAACTTCCTCCATCAACATCAACTCCAATCAACCAACCTCAAATAACTATTTGTAAGTTATTGATTATTGTAAATTTTATTGAGTTTTTGTATAAATTTTGTAGAAGTTGATTATTAGGTTATGAAATAGATACATTATACAGGATTGATAGCTTATACTTAATGAGACACAAGTTTGATATGTAATTTTTATTATTAGAGCATTATTTTCATGATTTAGGGGTCTGCATTCTGCCATTGGCGATGATGAGAGTTGTAAAAAAATTCGAAGATGCATCTATGAAATTTTGTAACGTTTGGAAACTCAGAAATCAGAGATGCATTTTCATAGTGTATTCGTCTGCATTTTTTTTGCCTTTTTTTAGATTAAACTCATTGTGTAATGCTTATGGTGTGGTTTACTTATAGGAATTATTATTGATAGACATGACCGATTGAGACACGATAGGATTGTACAACATGCATCTGTTCAGAGGGGGGAAAGTCAACCATCATAGGCTCTTATTACCTCTAGCTCGGTTGATGAGGAGGCGTCAGCTTTTGGGGCTCATGCATCACCGTCTTCTTCTTCCTCTCCCCATAGGATATGAGTGTCCCATCCTCGTGTATTTTTGCCTCCATCTTCCTGTAAACGACATAGTTCACCTATTTAGGCAGCAGAGGTACCCAAGTCATCGAAATTACCTCAAACACTAGAGGCACCTGAGGCACCCCAGACCCAAAAGACAGTATAGGCACCTGAGGCACCCCAGGCCCAGGAGACAGCAGAGGCACCTAGGCCCCGGAGGTACCTCAGGGGTTTGGAGGAGGCTCATCAGACTTATCATTATTGTCTCTTTACCCGGACCATACTGTCAGACATAATTTGGAACGATGAGGTAAAATTTAGTTGGATTCATTATTTTGAACATATGTTTGTTGTAATATTAAATTATGTTTGTTGGATTCATTCTTATGAAATTATGTCTGCAGGACCGTGATTTGCTAAAAATCATCAACAATAGGCAGGAGATTATTGGTCTGCATCAGCCTAATGAACAATGGTTTCAGGAAGTTTTGCAACTATCTGGGATGCAAGACTTGTGCAAGACCGATTATGTTATAGTTAACATTGGTATACTTAATGTGTTTATAGAGAGATGGCATACGAAGATGTCATTATTTCATCCACCACATAGTGAGATGTCTATCACACTGAACAATGTCTTATGTCTGCTGCATCTTCCGGTTAGGGGGACTTTTAGATCATGGAGAGATTAACAGAGACGAGGCACTAGAGTTGATGGTAGACTATCTAGAAGTTGACCCAGAGGTTGCCATGATAGAGTTTAAAGCCACCTGAAGGTCCCATGCTAGGTTTTTCTTCTTGGAGAAGGTATATACATAAAGATACTGAGAGCATAATAGGTTGTTGGTGATGACGAGCAGGTAGCACGGCATAGAGCATATGTTATGAAAGTGAAACAACGGGCTGAACAAATCATCGAGATGAAATCACTGAAGTCGCCATCGAACGTTTTTTATCCCACGAGAAGGGAAAGGTAAACATCGAGTAAATCTAAGAAGGGTGAAATCAAGGTCGAACGACCAAGAGATATGGGTAAGGGAGTCTATTATGTGAGGGGAAGGTATTAGCATCCCACACGCCCGTAGTACTCTATGGTGTCAACTCTTTTTATCTATCTTATGGGTGTGTTTAATCTATGCTTATTGTACTTCTGAGGAAGAATGCATGCAAAAGAAAATAGAAAATAATGTAAGGAAAATAAAGTTGTGCTCGCTCGGCTTCTACCCCAATGCCTACTTATCCCTTTTAAGGAATCAGAGAAGTCGTAATTCTGCTCACATATTTTGGTTGGTTTTGCATTTTTTAATGGAACATTAATTTCGCATTCTACCTGCAGCTCGACCTTTGGAGACTCACGCATCTGGAGTAGAAAGGAATTAATTTGCTCAAAAAGTGCCTGGAGGCGAATAATGCTAAAGTCGCGACTCGTAGCAAGTAGACATGGTGTAACCCGGCCTTTGGGGAATTACGCGTCGTATTGCATAGAGAGGGAAAATAACACATCTAGTTTAAAAGTTCCAAAGAAAGGCCTAAAGGTGGAAAAAGTTTGTATTGGTTGATATCTTTTACCTTAAAGAAGGATTTAAGAGTTTGTTAGATGTTTTATGCATTTTTCAAGAAAGAAAATTTTAATCTTAATGCAAGGATGCAAAAGAAAGAAAAAAAACATCTAAGGAAGACTATCTAGTTTTATCCCTAATGTCATCATACACTGATTGATCCTAAGGTTGAGTTTTGAAAGGGAAATTTATACCCTATGTTAGCACGCATGGATACTTATCCTAATGTCTAGCTCAAAAGCTACTCTAATTGAGTGATCCTAAGGGAAGCATGGCATATCAAACAAGTGATTTAGCAAAAGCACACAATCAGGGTATACTGACTCAGGGGATGGGGGTATGAAGAGAAAATGTTTTAGCTAAGGAGAGCGGATAACCAGAAGCAAACAAGCGGGAGACTGAGATGAAATAAAAAAAGAAAAGCATTACTTTAGCTAAGGGGAGTGGATCACCCGAAGTAAACAAGCGAGTAGCATAGTGTCAGCAATGGCCATTACGAACTCCTGACAAAGTGTAGGGGTTTGATTGTGAAACCCTTTTCCACTTGAACGACTCGATACACATGATCTGTGCAAATCCAAAGCATAGACGTACAACGTGAGCTAAGGATGACACTGACGAAATACAGGGGTCAAATGCGAACCCTTTCCGCTTGCCTCCTTTTGAGGAATTAATGGGGTGAGGGAATATGCAAGCACAAATGTAAACACACCTGCAGAATACCTACTTCAAAGGTAGGATTTTAAACAAACACAAGTAGCACACATAATGCACATAATGCGGGATTGCCTTAAACAGGTCTTTAAATAAACTAGAGGGATTTCTGACATATATCAGCAATGGAGATCCCTGTCATACATCTTTATTCCTACTTGAAATGGCAAGGAAAGCGGTAAAATCCCTACTTCTCACGATCTCTAGAAAGCAATAAAATACGGAGAGAAAATAGAAAAGAGGTTTACCAAATGGATAACAACCCGTAGATGATAAGCAATAATAAAGAAACCCGGAAAACTTCGCGAACTGCTAGCACAAATAAATAAAATACCATCAACATATGCGTCAAATTATCAACAATCAAAAATCAGAATGTGTAGTGGACACGCCCGAGTATCAAAATACACATGCACCAGATATCGATCCAGACACAAGTATAATAACACAGTGCACAACAAATGTGAGCACATGGCACGTAATATGTATCGGATATTCACGCACCATTAACAAAGTACATGCACATATTATAATCCATACAAGATACAAAATAATAATCACACAGTGAAATGTGTAGCGGACGCATCCGTGTGATACTCGGGTACCTGCACAAAAACAAGATTTATGCAAGAACGATATCATTTGCGTATCATACGCAAACTTTCACTTAACACGTGATTGCATAAGGTGTCCTTTCAACCAATAATCATGTGCTAATTAAAAATTGAAGGCTTAACAATGTACCTTACAAAGTATTCACAAAAGGAGTTAGAAGTAATAAGGCAATATTGCAAACATGCAATAAAAACAAAGCAAAAATTGACATTTCCGTCTAAATAACCGGTTACCATAATTGGGTAACCGGTTATGAAAAGTTGAAAATTGGCTACTGACTTGGGGTAACTGTTTACCAAAACTTTGAATATTTTGGAAATTTGCTACTGACTTGGGGTAACCGGTTACCATAACTGGGTAACCGGTTACCCTCGTGTCAGAGGCAGTTTTAACAAATTTTTTAATATTTCCAATGGTTTAGGCAATTGATTAAACACAAGATCCTCCCATATCAAACACATGATTTTTCATGATTCAAAGCCTAAATTCACACTATACATGATGAATTAAGAATTAACAATTAAGCTTCATGCAACATCATCAATTTGTTTTAATAATTAAGCACTTTCATGTAAATCAACTTAATTCAATAAGCACTTAATTCAACTATCAAATTCTGAATTTATGCATAATAATCAAATCAATTCACAATTCTAGGCTTAGATATATATTCTCGATTCAAAATTCAACCTAGATTCAATTCATGTTTGATCAAAAAGTGCTTCTCAAATAATCATTTATTCCAAGAAGTGCTTAATTCAAGAAAATTCACCGGTAGAAGTGAAGAGGAGGCT